TTTCCCATCTTGTTCCCTCATAGCTGATAGTAGATTTGAACTACCTCTCTTGGAGTTAGCTGTCAACCCTCTATATACTGGGCCACTGGAGCTCCCCACAAGATTACTAATAACCATTAACTTAAAAGTTTTAAGGACTTGACAAGAGAGAATAAGGTGAAAGAAGTCTTTCAGAGAGGGAAAAAGTGATGACAAACATCATTATTTTGTTAATTATCGAGGGAGAAAAATTAATCCCCTCTGAAAGAAGGTTGAGGATAATAATTGCAATGGCCATATAAATCCCAATCATGAACATCAGGCTGAAGGAGAGCTGGAGCTGCTAAGACACAGAAGCAGAACTGTACTGAGTAATGATGTCAATTTACAGTAGCCACCTCCTCGCAGCAAGCCTTTGTCCTCAGATTTTCACAGATATAGTTCAGTTTGGAGCTCTCTTGACACAGCAGTGTTTCACTGGTTCCCAAGAATGCACTAGAGTATTATAACCTAAGATATATGAACCTTTCTTAGCCACTGCATCTGAGAAGTGGCGTGAGGCCACACAGTACTCAGTATGAATTGCAGGGTTTTCTGGCTGAGCTCTGAAACAGAAAAGGAGGTGCTATTATACATTTCAGTCACTGTGAATATGAAGTAGCTATTAATGCTAATGGAAGCTTTATGTGGGCCCTGCAATGGAAATACACCTTCAAAAAGATGAAAAAATCATCCCAGTTGAACTTCGTTGACTCACTTGTATATTATACATGTGTAAGAAAAGGATTAGAGATTTTCAATTACAGAATGTTTCTTTCCTTATTTTATATTAAGAAAGTCATGGTTCAGCAATTTCAAATTTATAGATGGCTTAACAATGCTATCCTATTTTTCTTTGCCAAAATAGTTAAATCCAGATTTTCTATTTCTGCAAAAGGCCAAGATTTCGAAAATAGGAATTTAGGGAGCTAAGCATATTTTAATATAATAGGCCATAGGTCGTGCTCTGAAAAATAATTATAACACACTTTAGAAATTAACCTTAGGCCAAATTCCACCAGGAGACCTATGAAACAGATTCTCAGATAAGCTAGCTACATGATGAGTACAGATAAAGACATTGCAAGGTTATATGAGTCTTCAATGTATTCCTGAGAATCTTCAAGTTATTTCTACATAAACTGCAGCTACTGCAATCTAGAGCATGAAAATTCACTTAAAATTAGACATGTAAATGTGAGATGTTATTACATTAGTGAAAAACTTGCAAAAATCCAACCTTTAGAACTATGCATTGCTAAGTACAGTACTTCTGCTGCGGACTCAGTTCAGATTCAGAGTGACGATATATATAACAGAATGGGATGTTACCTAGTTCTAAGCCAATCTCAAATGTTACTGTTATTTGAGCTCATTGTTGTTGCCACTCTGTCAAATGAACAGAAGTACTACAAGATGAAGTTGTGAGGTAAAATGAGAAAGGTGAACTTTCTTATCATCATAATGGATTCTATATGCACATTACATCGTGTAACTAAACCTAACACTTTCCATAAACATCCACTGCACCTGTAAATGTTTTAAAGAAGACAAAGTTATAAAGAGATAAATTAGTCTACACTAATTGAGGGGGATAACTGGATAATGGAAAAAAATCATTTACAGCAACAGAAGAGATTATTTATGTAGATTTACAAATAGATGAGCTTCAGATGTATTCTTTTAAAATATAATTCTTCCCAGGTGTTTTTCTGCTTAATAAATATAGAATCCAACTTGGAATATTGTTGAGGCACTGAATCACCTAAATTTTGGCTAAGCTCTGCTGCTGCTGCTGCTGCTAACTATTTTGAGCGATTTCTCAATAAAGCAGCCGCTACTGAAATCAGAAGTACGTAGGTTTGGCACAGCTAGGAAGAAAAAGTGCAGTCTACAGATTTGTTTGGTGTGTTTTCCCAAAACAAAATCTTATTTAAAAAAATGCCCTCAAATTCCGCCCCTGTATATCTGTCAGAAAGAGAAGTTCTGTTCCCCTTCATAACTCTCAACGTTTAGCTCAGGTCTTGTGCTGCTGGGAAGTTAAATAGCTCCAGGATGTTGGGAGGCATCATCACAACTGTTCACTATGTATCCAGGCAGAATAACCAGTCACTCAGAAACTTCTGTCCTGATTAGATGGAAGTTTTTGGGGCCAACTTGGACACAGATACAGGATGAGTTTGACATTACTGCCAAGCTCACTTCCAGGACATTGGCTAATTAATTATAAAAGCTTTTCAAAACAAATTCAAGCCTGGCAACCTTTTATTCCCCTACTGAAACTAGAAAATTTTTTAAAAGGTTAAGAAAAAGCCCTGAGTTTATATTTCATATAGTGTCTTGTTCTTGCTTTGCCACCGTTTTGTCTTATTTGCATGCTCAAGCTTCTTCTTCTTGTCCTAAAATGATCCGGAACATTTGGAATGGAAGTCAACATAACACTAGGTATAGAAAGAGAAAACATTCATTTTCACTATTACTCTATTCAATTGCAAGAGATAAAGGGGCAGTTATAAAACTTCTCTTCAAATTCTTGGACAGAAAGAAAGTAAAGGACAGAGTTTCCATTGTCCTTGGAGAGAAAGAACTCATTGGATTAATCATGGCTATGGTAACAGACATCATGTAGATGAATAGCTCTTCCTATGACCCTGTGCTCTTCAACCTTGACATATTATGACTATGAAAACATACAAAAACTATACTCATGAAAGAAAACCCTGTAACTTCATTGTAACACTGAGTATGACTAAGATGTTGGTGGCATAGCCCATAGGGAGTTGCACTGCTAAGGAAAAGTCATATCTCTCCAGTGGTTCAAATCCCCCAGCAGGTGTGTAGGAGAAAGGTGGACAAATTCCTGTAACACAATTTACAGCCTCAGAAGCCCACTGGAGGGTCAGCTATGAATCATTTGCTGATTCAACAGCAGTGAGTTTGAGTGTGTTTTTTACTATTTGATGCTAGCATTTGGTATAAAAGATTCTGATCTTAAAGATCATAACTACATGGGTTGTATACCAGAATCAGTGCCTCAAAAAAGAGTTTTTCAGAACAATTTCTATAACACTAAAATAAAAACCTTATTGAATCTCTATTGTAAGCCATCAAATTTCTTCTGCATGTGTTCAGACAGAAGACAATTTATTTAAGAAATTTCACTTTATTGTTTATCCACAAATTTATGAAGACAACAAATCTGAGAAGAACTTCTTCTGATAAAAGATGCCTTCTTCAAAAGGTTTGTTAATAAGTTATTCCTAAACTTAATTAGTGCACTGTCTTATCCAATATCAAGAATCCTGGAAAACCTCATAAATAATCAAGAAGCTGGTTGGTAAATATTGTACAGAGCTGTAATGTGCACGAGAGAGCTTGCGAAATTTCCAACAAGTTCTCATGCCCTGAGTTTTCCCTTTCCCATCTTAAGCATGTAGCAACCAATATTTATATATATATATATATAGTTTCTTCTCCTGTATAATTTAAAGAGCAGGAAGATGTAATTGAGCAGAGCAATCCACATCAGAAAAAATAACATTTTGAAGGAGAGGGACAGCCAGGAGAGATAAGAATAAATCTGAATATAAAAGGAGGAAAAATTCTGACAAAAGTACAAAGTCTTTCCTTAAGAAACATAAATAAATTTAAATTAAAAAAAAGAATGTCAAATTTCAGAAGACCTTAAAAATCAGATAGGAAATTTCAAACCAATTCCCCTGGTAACTTCTTTTATCCAGGAGAGAAGTAAGAGGGCAATAATATGAAAAGTGTTTTTAATTGGGGAAAAATATTACTAAAGGAGAGATAGTTCCAAAGGCCCTTCAAGCAATCTTATTGCAATGATGAAAAAATAAGACTAGGATGATTTTAGGGAAAGGAAAAAAAGAATCCACAAGCCATCTAGAACAAAAAGTATATAACTTCTTGTTTCATCTTCTTTTTAGAATTCACTAAAGTCTATAAACCTCTGTCACTACTTCAAGAACAGTACCATCATAAATGTGTTTTTATTTTCAATAATAAAGTGTGAAAGGGGAAACTTCAAAGACATAAAAATCAAGAGAGAGAGAAAAAGAATAATAAACTTGTATAAATGATCTATAACTAACATGTCAAAAACAAAGTCAAGTAGAGTCATACTTTTTTATTACAGCAAGGGACAAGAAAGTAAGTTATAACTGCAAAACCAAGATCTTTCATTTTCTGGGATAAGTCATGCATTACTGTTGTTCCCACTTAGCAGAAGAGACAGCTGTTGTCCAACTCGACATAAAGAGTAATATATGGGACAAGTATTAAGACCAGGTCTTCTGGGTTCACATTCTTGGCTCTTTCCAATAACTACGACTTCCCCACAACACTGAGTAAGTAGGTTAGGATAGCTGTCATTTTAAAAATAAATCTCTTTCATCTCTTTGAAGTGCTGAGATTTTATTTTATTTAGAACACACATCCTTTTATAATTATCAATGCACTAAATTCATGAAACATTCTTCCACAGATATCCAACCATTAGCTCCATTTCTACTATATTATTTTCAAAAGAAAGTAAAGAGATTTAAGATGTGTGTTTTTTTGCTTCAAAGACTACTTACTCCATGTTTTAATAGACAAATAAGTACATGGCCAATGAGACTAATTTAATTATCATTACCTTTACTAGAAATATCTCCCAACAATGAAACAACTGTTAGCATTTCTTAGTCTACTATAATTTGACAAAGCATTTTTAAAAATATACTAAGAACTATATTTAATAAAATAAATCTGTAATTTTCCATGTAAATATAGCTAGAAGTGCTGGAGTGAAGACTCAAATTCTTATCTTCTAAACTCCAAATGCCTTCAGATACTCTTTTCTTTCTGAGAAAGTATAACCTCTATTTGTTCATAACGGTCAATTTTAAGCTAGGGACTATTGCTCTAACCTTTTCTCGGAATCTCTTATATATCCAAAGAGGCAAAAATTCTTTGCTTACCTGGTCCTTTTCAGGTTTATCAGAAATGTCATTCAGACTGGAGGAAGTCAGATTCCTATGTGCCATGGCTGGGCTACCTGGCAAAACAAAAGTGAGGTCTAATTAATGCCTTCTTTTCAAAAACACCAAGACCAGGGTTGTCTATTTAATAAACACTAGATGATGAGAATGAGAATGGCGATGATTTAATCACTATAAAATTCTCCTGAGAATTTTAGCCTGAGGCTACAATGAAATAGAAACAGAGTTAAAATATCTAATGTAAACTCTCCAACACCTTGTTGAAAAGTATTCTTTCTGATTCTGCTGTGAGTAAATAAAACTTCATTTACTCGGGACTTTTTTGTCATTGCATTCTATTCACACATATCCTAACTGAGAAGGCATCCTTCTCCTATCTCTTGCAGACCCTGGCTAACTCTTCTTCTTCTTCAGGATATTTCACCTGTAGATACAAGCCTTGACCTCTATTTATTCAGCTCTCTGCATCCTTATAAGAATCACTCAGTCTCATTAATTCAATCTCACCAGCATTCCTGTTTTTAGATAATACTATCAGAAACATTTCTCCTTAATAAAAATCGGATCTAGAAGCTCTATTTCTGCCTCAAAAGTGCTTACCTATCAAAGGTTCCCTTTCTTTATCTCTATTCCCATTTGCTAGAGTAAAAGAAGCATTATCCTTCTTCTTGGACATGCCAAATTTGTTATTTAACTCAAAGTATGACTTTCATCAAGAATATTACGTAGCAATCAATTGTCCAGGCAATAGATGTGTTGTAGGTAAAATTCACTGGAAATCTAGACAATGATTTCAGACACAATTAAACAGTAGAAAGGAGGAATATTTGGGAGAATGACAGAACATTCTTAGGTCTACCATGCTCATCTACAGAATATTAAATTTCCATTCTCCACTTGGACCTGAAATTGCTAGACTTAATAAGCAAAAGAGTAACTTTCTGAAGCCAGAGTGTCTGACCCAATCCCTGCAGGGTGCTGAGTGACGCATTCATCATTAATCCCCAATGATCTGACTCAGGCGAGTCTCCACAGCTAGAGGACAAGGGTTGCAAATGAGCGTTGAAGTTTAAGTGCAGCTTCGCAATGGCTTCCAGATAATTCTCCAAATTACAGACTTTAAATCCTTCAGAGCAAACCTTTAAAATGCAATTTTACAAAATCAAACTCTAATTTTAATAATGTAATGTCTATATACCAGCAGCTATTTAAATAATATAATTACTTTTAACTACTAGATCAGAAGAATCATAATTTTCTTGAGCTGACAAGACAGGATATTTTCCACTCTGATGCATTTCATTGAGTAAGCATGGCCTAGATCTCTTAAATCCTTCACCTTGTGGGGGCATTTTATTCTAGGAAAATTTGAGCACAAGCATTTTCTGAAAGAAAGTAGTGTCTGAAAAACTGCTTTATGAGCAAAATTAAAAGAACCCCTTTGAAAGCCACATTTCCTTCTCTGAAATCACATACCAGGTTTCTAATGCCCATTCAATACAAAAGGACACCAGGTACATACTTGAATGCCTTCAAATAATTCTGGGCTTGAAATTAATAGAAAATGATGAGTAGGTATAATTTTACAATTTTTATTTAAAAACAAAGCCATTTATTTGAACTAACAGGGCACAAGTTTTATTTGAATTAACAAAGAAATTTAAGTAAATATATTCTTAATGCTTTGAAGCTTTACCTCCCCTAATCATAATTACAATTCAAATTAATCTTATGTAAATGAATAGATAAGACTGATCTGCAATTATCAAATCAAATGACTGTAAGAGGTGGTATTGAAATAATCTGAAAGTAGTTTTTCATGAAGTAATTTAAATTTTCCAGGAAATATCCAAAACTCACTGACTTGCTTTCGAAGCTCTTTATGAATCTACAGAGGTGTATTTTAACCCAAGCATTGTCCTAAATGCTACAGAATCTAAATAGGCTGAAGTTAAATGATAAAGTTTTTAGTATAAAGATGGGAACTTCATGAAAATCACAACTTTTTTAAAAAATTCCATATGCTGTTCCACTTTCTCACTTCAGAAGAAGAGTTATGGTATGTCTAGCCTGAGCGATGCTGAGGTTAAGTTCTCTGCTGTGAAATCAAAAGTTGCGAGTTTGAATCCACCAATCATTTCATAGGACAGAAAAACAGCAGTCAACTTCCATAAAGATTACTGACTTGGAAACCCTTTGGGGCAGTTTTACTCTGTCCTTTAGGGTTGCTATGAATTAGAATAGACACGGTGGCAATGGGTTCTTCATACCAATACTCCATGGTCAGAGAGAGGGAAAGGTACAAGGAAAATAGAAGAACGAGGGAGCAAAAAGGAGAGTACGCAATAAAACCTACTGTCCTTTCTAACTTGATCTGCTTCTCATAAATAAAAGCAGCATTAACAATTTCACTAATGTTTAACTTTATGGTACACTGAAGGAATTCAGAAGTCAACATTTCTAGATATCTAAGCAAGAAGATCAGCATTCTTTAATCTTTTCCCATCTCCCTCCCTAGCAAACTTCTACCCCTCTAATAAAAAAACTCTTGAGTCAGAGACAAATGACTCCTACTCTACACTGTTCTAAAACAAGAGTTTCTGAAGTGTGGTTCCCTGAGTGTGGATCTTACACTAGCAGCAGCAGGAAGAGCAGTATTTTTAGACACTTGTTAGAAATATAAATTTTTGGGCTTAACTCCAGGTGGTAAAAAATACTTTGCAATCCCAAAGGCATGTGGTTCAAATCCACCAGCTGCACCAAGAGATGGGTAACCTCATCCCGTGATTTACTGTCTCTACAAACCCACTGGAAGGTCAACTATGAGTCAGTTACAACTCAACAGCATATAATCAACACCACATCAGATGATGGTTACATCTATGGTAGTAGCAGTAATGAAATCAAAGGTTTGCTATACTTGGTAAATCTGCTGTCAAGGACTTCTTTAAAATGCTACAGAATAAGGATATTAGTTTAAGGAAAAAGGTCTGCAAGATTTAAATCAGGGTATTTTTTATTGCTTTCTAAAATCTGAAAGTTGGACAATGATTGAAGAATATCAAAGAAGAACTGATACCTGTGAACTGTATTGTGGGTAAAGAGTTCTGAATATACCCTGGACTGTCAAAAGAACAAATACATCTGTCTTGAAGGAAGTGCAACCAGATTGCTCCTTAAAGGCAAGGATGGTGGAACTTTGTCTCACAAATTATGAACATGTGATCCACAGAGGCTGGTCCTTGGAAAGAGACATCACACTAGGAAAGGGAAAGGGAAAGAGAGGAAGACCTTCAACAGGATGGACTGACAGACACTGTGACAGTAACAACATGCTCAAGCAAGTGCAAGATCGTGAAGAAGGTACAAGATAGGGCAAAGTTCATACCTGTTGATCCTAAATTCACTATGAGTCATAGTCAATTCAATGACACCTAACAACAACAATCCCAGACCAACTATATAAAAACTGTGGATGAGGAGACAAGCAATGAAGGTTCTAACCAATCCTTCAAGAGACTCTGAAGCATGGTAAGGTTTGAGAAATACACAGAGATAAGAACAAGTGGAGGGGTAATTATAATAGCCTTGCCCTTCTCGAAGATGCTGCTCCGAAATATCACCTCTTAAAAAAAATCACAATTAGTGTCCTTGTAACATAAACACATAAAAATTACCATACTCTGCTTTCCCATTTTTTCCTGTTGTTGTTGTTGTTGTATACCATGGAGTCGTAACAGACTCACAGCTGACTCTCCAATGAGTTTTCAGAGGCTAATAAGCACATGGGAGGAAAGTGCCCATCCTTCTCCCACAGATTTTCGCCTACTTGACCAATAAATAAACAAGGATGTTTTGTTTAACTAGTCTTTTCCAGAAACATACCACTCAAATCAATGAAGACAAGGACAAGATCCAAAAGCAAGAAAAGGTCAGATTATATACGATGTTGTGGTTGTTTTTATATGCCACCAAATAGGAATGGACACATAGATGATGATTCTCTAGTGGGTTTTCAGGGGTAGTAAATCATATGGGAGGAGACTTCCCATGTGTCTCCCATGGAGAAGCTAGAGGATTTAAACCACATGCCTTGGTAGCATAATTCCCTACACCTAAGCCACCAGAGCTCATTTTATAATATATGGGAATTTGAAATTTGAGAGTGGCTGTTAGCTAATCATGAAAGCTGTTGTATAATAAATATATAGCTATTGACATTGTATTGCAGATATTCTAGACCTAATATTCAGTAAGAAACACTGTGGGAGTTAATCAGCACTTTCCAGTTAAGAGTTCTTGAACAAGTTCACACTATCACATAAGACTGTAATCCCCCAGGAATAGGGAGCACAGAGAGGAAAATGCCATTTTGTATCATTTTATGACATTCATTTTGCCAAAAAGGTGAAATAAAATAACTTTTGACTACCAGTCCTTTCCATCAAAATGCATGCAACCAAATGCTATATGACTGCTCATGACCCAAAGAAACTCTGTTGTGTTTTGTTTTGAATGCTGATTTAAAAAGAAGAATCAGCTGCAAGTTCATATTGTTGTTGTTGTTAGAGGACATCGAGTCAAGTAAGACCCACAGCAACTCTATAAAACAACACATCTACACCCTGTCCTAACTTGTGCCATCTTCATACTTCCTCACACACTAGAGTCTACTGCAGCAGTCACTGTGCCAATTCATCTGGTTAAGGGTCTTCCTCTCTATCATCAACTCTCTACTTTTTCAAGCATGATAACCCTCTCTGAGGAATAGCGTCTTCTAGCAACATGCCCAAAGTACGTGAGGCGAGCCTTTATCATCTTTGCCTCCAATGAGCATGCCAGTTGTACTCCAAGACATATGTTTGATCTTATGGCAATCTGTGAGATATTCAATTCTCTTCTACAACACCACTGTTCAAAGGCATCCTTTTTCTCTCATTCTTATTCATTGTCAAGCTCTCATATACAAAGCAAGTGCTCTGAAAGACCATGCCCTGAATAAGACATATCGTAGTCTTCAAACTTACATCATTGCTTCTCAATAATTTGGAGACGT